AGAGCCCCCCACTTTCGAAGGGAGTCTGTTCCGCTGTTGAACAGCTCTTGCCACCAGAACGTTATTCCTGACACTTAGTTGGAATCTCCTTCCTTTCTATTTGAATGCATTGGTTCAGATCCTCCCCTCTGAAGCAGCAGAAAACAATCTGGCTCCATCTTTTACAGACATCAGACATGATTTTATTTGTACGCCACCTTTCCACAGTTTAAACCATGCTCAAGGCGGCTCACAACATGGGGGGTAAACCCACACAACTACAACAAAAGTAGTCATAAACAGTAAGCAAAACATTAAAAAAATATTTTGTTGTTGTTTAGTCGTTTAGTGGTGTCCGACTCTTCATGACCCCCTGGACCAGAGCACTCCAGGCACTCCTGTCTTTCACTGCCTCCCGCAGTTTGGTCAAACTCATGCTGGTAGCTTCGAGAACACTGTCCCACCATCTCATCCTCTGTTGTCCCCTTCTCCTTGTGCCCTCCATCTTTCCCAACATCAGGGTCTTTTCCAGGGAGTCTTCTCTTCTCATGAGGTGGCCAAAGTCTTGGAGCCTCACCTTCAGGATCTGTCCTTCCAGTGAGCACTCAGGGCTGATTTCCTTCAGAATGGAGAGGTTGGATCTTCTTGCAGTCTATGGGACTCTCAAGAGTCTCCTCCAGCACCAGAATTCAAAAGCATGAATTCTTCGGCGATCAGCCTTCTTTATGGTCCAGCTCTCACTTCCATACATCACTACTGGGAAAACCATAGCTTTAACTATACGGACCTTTGTTGGCAAGGTGATGTCTCTGCTTTTTAAGATGCTGTCTAGATTTGTCATTGCTTTTCTCCCAAGAAGCAGGCGTCTTTTAATTTTGTGGCTGCTGTCACCATCTGCAGTGATCATGGAGCCCAAGAAAGTAAAATCTCTCACTGCCTCCATTTCTTCCCCTTCTATTTGCCAGGAGGTGATGGAACCAGTGGCCATGATCTTCGGTTTTTTGATGTTGAGCTTCGGACCATATTTTGTGCTCTCCTCTTTCACCCTCATTAAAAGGTTCTTTAATTCCTCCTCACTTTCTGCCATCAAGGTTGTGTCATCTGCATATCTGAGGTTGTTGATATTTCTTCCGGCAATCTTAATTCCGGCTTCGGATTCATCCAGCCCAGCCTTTCACATGATCTGTAATTGTAACTACAAGCTAACGCCTGCCTTCAGGGATCATACTGTGAACTGAATGTAAACAGGGGCGAACGAAGGCTAACCGACACCCAGGGAGGGCAAACCGCCAGCTGTGCATGTGTGGCGTCGCTACGTAGGGCGCATGTGCGGCACTGCTATGTACGACACATGTGCAGTACTTAGCGCTGCTGCACATGCGCAGTTCATAGCAGTTTGCCGCCAATGCTGCTCAAGTGCTTTACAGACGGTGGTGGGATTCTCCGCTTGCGGCTGTAGCGGCAGCGGAGGGATTCCACTGCCATCCGTATGGCGCTTGTGCGGCGCCGGCTGCAAAATGCTATATACAGTGCATGCGTTGTACATAGCGGTTTGCCGCCTGCACCGCTCGAGCGCCGTACGGACGGTGGTGGGATCCGCTGCTCGTGGCTGCACCTGCGAACAGAGGATCCTCCACATGCGGCTGCAGCGGCACGATGGCTGCTTGTGCCGCTGCGCCCGGGGGTGGCTGGGCGAGCCCCCCACAGGGTGCCTTCTTGTCACCCCCCGACATGGCACCCAGGGCACACTGCCCCCCCCGCCCCCTTGCAGCGCCACTGAATGTAAGTAAACTTCTTGTAACTTTTAAGGAAAGACTGTTGTTGTTTTTTTAAAATGATATTTATTAAAATTTCACAAAGAAAGAATCACATCAACAAAAAAAGAAAAATTCAAGAATAAAAAGAAAAATACACAATGCAAAATACAAAAGGAAAAAAGAAAAAACAGTTAAAAACAATTCCCTCTTTTCATCACTACTTTTACATTTACTTGTTTCCCGGACCTCCTCATACCTCCCTCTTTTGTATTCCAATTCAGTTTGTTAGTCCAGCAATTCCTTTCCCTCCTTTTTAATCCCAATCCTTAATCTTAATATAGTATAACATTAAGTTTTTACCTATTAAAAACCATTTTTTCCATTCTTTTAACCTTTTTAATCCTAATCCTTAATCTTGATATATTTATAACTTTAATATTTATAACTGTTGTGTCTTTATCCTTTTGAGAGGGACTGAAAGGGGACTTACCAGGAATAATCCAACCTAGGCAGACCAGACTGGATTGCTTGACTAAAGAGATACAAAAGAATCTGCAGACCAGCTTCCTGCATTATATAGGGGGATGTGCTCTGCTACTTGACTCACTAGCATGAGTGGGGAAGGGTAATATTTAACCAAAATATCCTCTCCTACTATCCACAACATTCCCACATAAACAGCCATGTATCCTAAAGACACCGCAGTCTCCACTGAGCCTCATTTCCAGAAGGAAACGCGAACCCTGTCTAACCCCCTGAAACCCCTGGAATCTCGCGCTGCTGTGGGAATTGGGGTGCAACAAGGCATGCTTCGGTCCTATGCACTGAGAGAGTTGAAAGAGGTACATGGCTGCATCACTGGTGCACATTTCTGCTCCGCTTGCCTGGGCAAGTGCCCCTCCACCACCTCCTCCGCCCGGTTGGCTCCATCCAGAAGAGCATGCACCGCTGAATCGGTGCCCGGGCCCATCCTGCACTTTCCCACTTGTCCCTCGGGCAGAGTTTTCCTCCCTGTGCATTTTGGTTTTGGCAGCCGGGAGGCTCCATTACATAACCCAGGGCTGCGCCGCAGAGGCCAAGATTGCTACTTAGCCGCTGTTTATCTTTTGCGGTGTTCCTTTTGTTTGAGACCTCTGTGTATTTTACCTCGGTCAGAAGAACCCGAGGCTGGGGCCTGCCGCTCGAAGATCGGGAAGAAGCGCAGGGAACAATTCTCCTTCGAGACGGAGCCTGCTTCTGGGGGCAAGAGGACTTTGAGGGCGACCAGTTGTTTGCAACAGCTGGAGGAGAGGGCCGTTGCCTTCAAATTCTGCCTGCGGGCGTCCTAGATTCACCCCAAGGTCCCGGTTCGGGTTACAGCATTAAAACACAATATTAAAAACAGTTTAGCTTGTCATATACACTTATAAAAACAAGGTGTTACAAGTCCAGCAGGCTCTTCTTGTAAAATTTGTTAAAAGAGTAATTAAATCCCAGTAAAATTAAAACAGAAATGTTGTACTTTGCCACACAGTGCATTGTTGTCAGGGTTTTCCAAATTGAGTTTTCATATTTTTTCACATCATTCTGTTACAGATTTCCAAACCAAAGAAACATCATCAACAGATCCAAAAACAAGTGAGCTGCAGGATGTATGCAATTGGCGAGTACGTGGGTTCGTTTATAATATTACATTTTCCCTGTAAATATCCGGTTTTCTTTTGGCGTTGCATTTGGGGAGTCTTGTTTGGGTCTCCACAGTGCACAGTCAGTCTAAGGAACTCACTGCCACATGAGGCAGTGATGGTCGCCAACTTGGACAGCTTCAGAAGAGGACTAGACCTCCGCTGTCAGAGGCACAAATGCTTCTGGATATCACTTGCTGGGGGTTGCAGGGGTGAGGGTGTCTTGTGTTCGAATCCTGATTGTGGGTTTCCCTTGGGGGCATCTGGTTGGCCATGGTGAGAGAAGGACACTGGGCAACCCTGGACTTTTGGCCTCAATCAGCCGCAGGACCCTCATCGAGAGGCAGTGTGGTCAAGGGGTTAGAGTAGAGATCGGCAACCTAAATTGGAGGATGGGCCGGTCAACGCTCTGTCTGCTGGAGGATGGGCTGGAGCGTGCGCGCACGCGCACTCTTCCAAGTAGGAGGAGCACCGGTGCGCATGTGCACACACTATTTTCTGTGCTCCTCCGACCCGGAAGTGAGCTGGAAATAGTGTGTGCACATGCGCACATGCGCTTCTCTGTCCTGCACGCGTGTGCACACACTATTTCCAGTGCACATCCGGGTTGGAGGACTGCCCATGTGCATGCGCATGGGTGCCATCAACCCAGAATTCGGTCCCTGCGCCGCACCACCCCGGTGTGATGGCCTGGGACTCAGGCTCAGACTCCGAGCCAGAGCAGTCTCAGTCCGCACCGGATCCTTTGCCTCAGGTGGCATCTGAACCAAGTCTGGGGCCTGATCCTGAAGAGTCCCAGTCTGCAAAGGTTCCCCTGCAACAAACCCCAGCTGGGCCAAGTCAGGGGCCTGAGCCTGCCCTGGCTCCAGATGCGGGGATGACCTCCTTGCCTCCAGCTGGGCCATCACTTACAGCTGCTCCACTACCGGTTGGGTCAGGGGAGGCTGAGGCGGCCTCTGGGTCTAGTAACCCACCGACGTCTCCCGAGCTGCAGAGAGCAAGGTCTGAGAGAAGGAGAGAGCTGAGTACTCGCAGGAGGAGTGCTCACCTTTGGGCGAAACAGGGAGGTGAGTCACCGGGGGATCAGGACTGGCCACTACCCTGACAAAGATAAAAGGCTGTCTTACCCCGCCCCAGGTTGCAGGAGCAATGTTTTCCAGAACCTGCCTGTGATCTTGTGTCTGTCCCTGCCTGGTTTCCTGCCTTGGCCCTGTTGGACTGACTCCCAGCAGAACCTCCGGATTCTGGACTGGTCCTGGACTGTGTTTCAAGGGTTACCCCGGGCCCAGCACAGCCGGTAAGAGCGGGCGGCAGGGGCAGCAGTGGGGGGCGGCACGGGTCGCCACGGGCCGGTTAGACAAGCCTTGTGGGCCGCTACCGGCCCATGGACCTTAGGTTGCCGACCTTGAGTTAGAGGGTCGGTCTAGGACATGGGAGACCAGGCTTTGACCATGAAGCTCCCTGAGGGAACTTAGGGGACAGTCCCTGCCTCTCAGCCTAGCCTACCTTGCAGGGCTGTTGCTGTGGGGATTAATTCGAGGAGGAGGGGGGAAGAACCACGGAGGCCACTTTGTTAATTTTTTTTAACATAATCTTTATTATCACACATTAATGACATAAAACTCAATAAATATTGCACAGTACACAGTACATACATTTTATACAATACTTGCCCTCATACCTTACATTGGACATCACATCACACACATTTGACTTTCCTCTCAATGCTATGTTATCAATCTTAACTCCATACACATGTTCTTCCACATTCCTTTTGTTTGTCTATACATATTTTACCGTATCCTCCCTCTGTTTACAAGATTTAGTCTGAATCTGCTATGAGATTTGCGTTGTCCATATAGTTTTTAAGATATTCTTCAAAGGTTAACCATTCTTTATTAACTTTTTGAACAGTGTTTCCTGTTCCTTTCCCTGTTAGTTTTGCAAGATGTAAATATTCAGTCATTTTAGCCACGGAGGCCACTTTGAGTTCCTTGAAGGAAACAGCATGTGAATACGGTGAATTAAATAATGCTAAATAACCACAAGTGTGTTACTAAGAAGGCTGCGAGCGATTTGGCAGTCCTTGCATCCACACCGGCTGTGAACCTCAACTTGCTTTTGGTTTCGGCATAATGAGAACTTCAGGTGTGCGCCTGCAGGATGGGTAGGAAGGAAGCGAGACTTCCAGTCTTGGCATCTCAGCTTTCAGGGGGAAATCTGCGCTGAGGAAAGGCAAAGGACGAGAAAGGAAATTAAATTAACCTCATGGAGAAGCGGTGATATTCGTATCACCAAGAAAACCTCGCCTCACGTGCTGGCGGAGGATGCGGCGAGTTCCTGGAGAGTGGCAAAAAAGCTAATAATAATAATAATAATAATAATAATAATTTTTATTCCCCTCCCTCCCCAGCCAGAGCCAGGCTCAGGGTGGCTAACACCAGTAAAATTACAGTAAAATCATAATGGGGGGGGCACGACAATTTAAAATACAGGTTAAAAGTAACCCATAGATCAAAACCGTAAGGGAAGGGAAAACATAAGGGTCAGACTGCGTCCAAGCCAAAGGCCAGGCAGAACAGCTCTGTCTTGCAGGCCCTGCAGAAAGATGTCAAGTCCCGCTGGCACTGCAGGAAGCCAGGCAGACAGTTCTGAGCACCGTCCGAATCGCCCTCTGCTCTTTCCTCATGAAATATGGCAGGGCGCCTTTTGGAGCCCGACTTGTGTGGTGGGAGTCAGCAACAAAGAGGGAAGCAAAGGGGCATAAGAGGAATATTGCTGGATCAGTCCAGTTGCCCAATTAGTCCAGCATCCTATTCACACAGTGGCTGAATAGCTGCCTATTATGGGAAACCAAGAAAAAAGCACACCAAGAACTCTGACCAATATAAATTTCAGCAAATCAATAGTCAATTGTAACAAAAGCTAATCCATTCAAAAGTATGTATTGACAGGGTTTACAAACTCAAATAGAGATTTTAAACTCAAATGGAGATTACAGATAAGAGTTTACGAGTAGAGATAAGTTCATGTGAGTCCGTAGTCAGATTCAATATGAAGGTCTTAGACTTTAATTCTGTAACAAATTATTGTGTTATACATATCCCTATGAGTTTGAGTTTGTAATCTCTGTTAGAGTTTATAATCTCTATTTGAGTTTGTAATCCTTGTCAGAATACATACTTTTGAATGGATTAGTTTTTAAGACAATTGACTATTGATTTGTGAGTAGGGACCACTCCCACTGCTGAAATTTATATTGGCCAGAGTTCTTGGTGTGCTTTTTTATTGGTATACTATGGGAAACCCTCAAGCAAGATTCAAGCCCAAGAGCCCCTCTCCTCCTGGGGTCTCCAGAAACTGGCATCCAGAGCCACTGTTGCCTCTGATCGTGGAGGCTGAGCAGAGGCATCCCGGCTAGCAACCGGCAACAGCGGCGGAGGAAGGGGGTGTGGTGGAGGTGGTCTGGCCCGGGTGCCATCCCTGAGGGGGGGTGGCATTGCTGGGCTGCTCCCCTGGGCTGCTCACTGCTCGCTGCAGGCAGCACCCTGGGACGCTCGCTGCTGACCGTGGGAGCCACCCCCTGCCCCTGGGACACTTGCCGCAGGTGGCACCCCCACGGGTGGCTGGCCCTGCCCCCGGGTGCACAGCATGTGCCCCGCTCTGGGTGCCAGAGCAGCTAGCTCCGCCTCTGGCCAGCAATTGCTCTCTCTTCCATGGATTTGGCTGATTCCCTTTCAAATCCATCCAGGGTGGGGGTGGGGGTCAGTGCCTCATGTGGGACTGAGTCCCACCATTTAACTGTTTGAACAACCAATATATATATATATATATATATATATATATATATATATATATATTTGTATTAGTTTTTTTGTAACATATCATTTTCAACAGTAATTAAACATACCTTTACATCTTATTCGATTTTTTTTTTACTTCCATCAGTCCTGCCTGAAAATTTTCCAATCTAATCTCTTAGTATGCATTTCTTATCTTCCCTATTACATTTCAAACTCATCACCAATATCTCTATCTTTTTCTACTTTGTTAACACTCCGTATATTTCTCCTTACACACCTTCTTGTGGTCCTACTAGCGCAATTTGTTGATTACAGTTGCTCTTCAAATAATTCATATACTTCTTCCAATCTTCTTTAAATCTCTGGTCCCGCAGGTTTCGAATCCTTCCTGTCATTTTGTCCAATTCTGCAAAATGACAGAACAACTATTTTCTCTTGTCTGCCCTGTATCGTCCAACCCTCAGCTTCTTCAGATGCCCACAGGCTCTAGTGTTAGGAGAGAGGGAGGAAAACATTTCTCTGCCTACTTCCTCCTTGCAATGCACAATTACATGAGCTTCTATCGTGTTCCCTCTGAACTAAAAAAATCCCAAATGTTTCCGCCATCCCTCATGGGGATTCGCTCCATCCCCTCGATCATTTTGGTGGCCCTTTTCCGAACCTTTTCCAATTCTGCAATGCTGTATCCTTGTTGAGGTGAGGCGGCCAGCATTCCAGATGCAGCTGCACCATAGATTTGCACAGTGGCATTATGATAACAAGGGACGCAGGTGGCGCTGTGGGTTCAACCACAGAGCCTAGGACTTGCCAATCAGAAGGTCAGCGGTTCGAATCCCTGCAATGGGGTGAGCTCCTGTTGCTCGGTCTCTGCTCCTGCCAACCTAGAAGTTCGAAAGCACATCAAGTGCAAGTAGATAAATACCTCCGGCAGCAAGGTAAACGGCGTTTCCGTGCGCTGCTCTGGTTCGCCAGAAGCGGCTTAGTCATGCTGGCCACATGACCTGGAAGCTGTACGCCGGCTCCCTCGGCCAATAAAGTGAGATGAGTGCCGCAACCCCAGAGTCGGCCAGGACTGGACCTAATGGTCAGGGGTCCCTTTACCTTTACCTATTATGATAACAACATCATTGATGAGCTTCCTGACTTGGCTCCAGCAGGTTTTGCAGGATTGGCCCAGGAACCCCCAACCTGCCCCTTCCAGGTGTCAGTTATAACTTCCACCAGCCCCGGCCAACTGATGGGATTTGCAGTCCAAAATATTGGGGAAGGCTAGACTGGTCAGACTTTCCTTGCCCCTGGAGCACATCTGGCTTCCTGGCAATCATGCCTACATGGGGGGGGGGGGAGATTTACGGGGCCATTTCTGGAGAGCCCCTCTGTTTCAACTTCAGTCGTATCTGTCTGCTCATCCTCAAGAATGTTAACACAGTTCAGCTCTGTTGTCTGTGTTGTTTTCGTGTTGCCAGGGGAACAGGGAGATGTCTGAGTCCTTGCCTGTATGTTTTATCTCTTACCTTGAAGACCGGTCCAAAACTGGAAGGTAATTCTGCAAGATCTCAAGCACCCCCAATGTCTGTGGGGGCCAAGGGACACAGAGAACAGATTGCCCCTGAGCGTGGATGGTGTCCAATCTATTCATCAGGAAGTAGCCTTTAAACTGATTATTAGGAAAATATATATATGCAAAGGTGTTATCAATTAAGCAATGTCGAACAACAATATGGAATAATGTGAATTATTTAAAGGTGTCATATTATAGAAAATTAAGAGTAGCAGGATGGAATAGGAGATGACAGACTGAAAAACAAACTTCCTTTATTTTATTTTGCAACTGAAGGTATAAATTGGTGGAATCTACACACTCATAAAAAACGCTGTGCGAATGCTCTTTTTAAAAACATTTTGAAAAACACATTGAATTTTGCATAGCTCACTTTTGCCATCTAGTGTCGCATTTGTATACTGCACTTAACAACACATTTAAAGCGTTTTATTTGCAGCTGTGCAGCTGAGTCCATTGTTACAAGCCACCCCGATCTCAGAGGGCTGAGAGATTCCTGAGGGTTACCTAGTTTGCTTTTGTTGGATTGGAGGTCAGCAGACACTGTGGTGTCTTTAGGATAGATGGTTTTATTTGCACCTATGTACAGCCTGAGCATAGGATGGAGGTGCCCACAACATAAACACCCCAGCAGATCTCGCTTCTCCATTAGTAACAGCTTGGGATCCAGCACAGAGCAAGGAGGTCTCCAGCTTCCAGCTTAGCTCGCACTCCTGGCTATTGACCACTTAGCCAGGAGGCCCCACTTCTTAGTTGTAGCTCTTGCAGCCTGGCTCATTCATCTGGGATGCTGATGAGAACATCCAAGTGGCCAGCTAAGGTCCTTGCCTTACAAAGAGACTTGACTGACTCTGTTGGAGTCTAACCCTCACTGGGTACAGCACCCCAAGAATGGGAAGGGATTCCTGAAGGCAGACTTAGTTACAAATATGTACATGTGTATCTACCCCATATGGAGGTATAATCCCAGTGCTTCTGTTAGCTGAAAGCTGGCATAGCAGTCCCTAGCTAAAAGCTGGTCCAATGAAGAAGGAAGTCAAGAGAAAGAGAGAAAGAGAGAAAGAGAGAGAGAGAGAAAGAGAGAGAGAGAGAGAGCGCGCTGTGTGACTTGTCCTTTTTGTGGGAATGTTCAGGGATGCAGAATAGGATATATTGTTTGATTATAGTCTTTCCAACTTGGGTAAACAAGTTCACAATTTAGCAGAATAACATTCCCCTTTTTAAACTTGCAGCGGATGCGTTTGCTCAGGCTCACTAAAGCCCCTATAAAAACTGCTCTGGTATTTTCCCCTTATTCCCTCATAAAAGATAAGACACGACACAGTCTTCTATAAAAGTATGAAAAGAGTTTACTCACATTCTGTTCACAATCGGATTCCAGAAGGCAGACTTAGTTTCCAGGTGTATGTTACTTTTCTAGGCTATCTCATTAGGAGACAGTCCCTTTGTCCTCTCTTGGCTGGAGGCCAAGAGAACATGTTTGGCTAAGCAGATGTTGCTTCTTCGATGCATGTAGTCAAAGTGAGAGAGATGGCTGCCCTGCCCTGTGCTTTTGTCGTTACCTGCACAGGTGAGGCCACGCCCACCTCTAGTCACATGCAGAGGAAGTCTGTCCCAGCCCAGAAGGAAACAAGAAGTTTACCTGCTGGCTGGACAAACATTCCTCCCCAGGTGTAAACATGTTCACTCTAGGAATGTTGTACTTGACTGCTCTTGTGTTTCACATCCCACATATTTGTGGTCCTCAGTGGTGACTTTTGCCTGCCCCTGATCCATTAAGTGTCAGAGTTAAGGCAGTATGAGAGACACTCTGATTCCTACACTGCAGGGGGTTGGACTAGAGGACCTTTGGGGTTCCCTTCCAACTCTTCTATAATTCTGTGATTCCATGCCTACGATGCCCTGAATGGCAGTTGCTGAGGGTTGCAAGTGGGGAAATTTGCTGCTGGGCTTGGGCCCGTCTTGGAGGCTCTGATTGTCTTCTGAGAACAAGACCCTGAGCTGGACAAGCCCCTTTGGCCTCATCCTGCTCCAAGGCTCCTCTTCCGCCCTTATGACATCACAGACCAAAACTCAATGCTGATGTCGCCCTGCTACACTTTGCCTCCTACTGGCAGGTGGCAGGAACTGCATGGCTGAATTAACTTCTTGAAAAAGTGTTTTATGAACGGGAGTCCATAAAAAGTGTGTGAAGCCAGGCATCCGAATCCCAAAAAATGGAAAGAGGAGAAAAAACCAAAGGGGGTGGGGAGGAACCATTTTTAATTAGCTTTTAATGGCTTTTAGTGGTTTGGTGGTTTAATAATAATAATAATAATAATAATAATAATAATAATAATAAATTTTATTTATATCCCGCCCTCCCCAGCTGAAGCCGGGCTCAGAGCGGCTAACAATAATAAAAAAATGGCTTCTACCAGCTGTATTGTGGTTGAAAAATGCAGATTTTTTAAAAATTGCTTTATTATTTGTTTCAAGCTCTGTTGTATTTCATAAGCATGATACTGTTGATAACTATATTTCTGTACAATGGTACCTCGGGTTACATACACTTCAGGTTACAGACTCCGCTAACCCAGAAATAGTACCTCGGGTTAAGAACTTTGCTTCAGGATGAGAACAGAAATCGTGCTCCGGCGGCGTGGTGGCAGCAGGAGGCCCCATTAGCTAAAGTGGTGCTTAAGGTTAAGAACATTTTCAGGTTAAGAACGGACCTCCAGAACGAATTAAGTACTTAACCCGAGGTACCACTGTATATTTATCTGCCATATCTATTTACCATTTCTGTCTACCCTATCTATCTATTAGTATATTTTGTTATTTTGCTAGCTGCCTTGAATTCCCTTGTGCCAAAAAGTGAAGTATGGAAGGAAATAACACCAACCCTCCAGGCAGGAGCAGACCTTGGCACCCCGAATTTCAGTGCCCCCCCAGCTCTCGACTTCCACTGAAAGCCATAGTTGCAGCATCCCTTGCAGCACCCCAGAAGCGCTGCACAGTCCTCTAGACCCAGCTTTGTTGCAAGTTAGATCGGAACTTTTATCTGTTCCAGTGCTAATTCGACACCAGGACAGACAATTGCTTTCCACAGAGGGAAAGGTTTCTCTCATTTGATGGAATCCGAATGCAACAGACTGGGGTTTTCTAGAACACCGGAAGAACAGACATCTCAAGAACATTCAAAGCCAGGATGGAGCATGTGTTAGTCTCCTGAGCGCCTCAGCTGCTCAGTCAACACAAAACTTATTTGTATTTCAAATAAGAAGGTTTTTCTTCTTCTTTTCCACAAGATGGTGCTCCTGCAACACCAATTCAGGAGGGTGCAGGTTAAAAATGGATCTTAAACAAGAGAGGAAGACCTTTCAGCGCTGACAGACAATGTTTGGGCTCGCAGCTGTCTATGGAGGCGCAGGTCAATTCTGTGTCCAGGGCAGCTGTCTACCAGCTCCATCTGGTACGCAGGATGAGACCCTCCCTGCCCACGGACTGTCTCGACAGAGTGGTGCATGCTCTGGTTATCTCCTGCTTGGACTACTGCAATGCGCTCTATGTGGGGCTACCTTTGAAGGTGACTTGGAAACTACAACTAATCCAGAATGCGGCAGCCAGACTGGTGACTGGGAGCAGCCGCCGAGACCATATAACACCGGTCCTGAAAGATCTACATTGGCTCCCAGTACGTTTCCGAGGACAATTCAAAGTGTTGGTGCTGTCCTTTAAAGCCCTAAATGGCCTCAGCCCAGTAGAACTGAAGGAACATCTCCACCCCCATCGTTCTGCCCAGACACTGAGGTCCAGCGCCGAGGGCCTTCTGGCGGTTCCCTCACTGCAAGAAGCAAAGCTACAGGGAACTAGGCAGAGGGCCTTCTTGGTGGTGGCACCCGCCCTGTGGAACACCCTCTCACCTGATGTCAAAGAGCTAAACAACTACCTGACATTTAGAAGACATCTGAAGGCAGCCCTGTTGAGGAAAGTGTTTAATCTGTGATATTTCAATGTATTTTTAATCTTTGTTGGAAGCCGCCCAGAGTGGCTGGGGAGACCCAGCCAGATGGGCGGGGTACAAACAATAAATTATTATTATTATTACAGACAGCCACCCAATTTTAAACAACTCCTCACCCACAATAATACAGCAAGCAGACTTAACATGGACACTGGTACCAGAGCCTGCAATAAACCCAGATGCCAACTTTGCTGCCGCAGACACCTAGACAACACCATCACTGGACCCAACAACATCAAACATACCATCGCAGGCCTATTTAATTGCTCATCTTCTAACATTGTGTATGCCATCAAATTCCAGCAGTGCCCTTCAGCTCTCTGTATTGGACAAACTGGCCAAACCCTACGCCAAAGGATAAATGGACAGAAATCTGACATCAGGAATCACGACCCAGAAACCAGTAGGAGAACACTTCAATCTCCCAAGACATTCTATACATGATCTCAAAGCAGCTGTCTTATTACAAAAGAATTTCAGAAACAGACTGGAAAGAGAAGTTGCTGAATTACAACTTATCATTAAACTGAAAACACCTTGGTGTTAATAGAGATATTGGATTCCTGTCTCATTACATATGCTAATCATCTGTATAGTATCCCTTGCTTTTTCCTGTAGGACTAATTGCAGTCATTAACAGTCGTCAACAGGTTTACTGTACCCATTGAGTCAATCACCCATCTCACAGAATCATAGAATCATAGAATCATAGAGTTGGAATAGACCACAAGGGCCTTCGAGTCCAACCCCCTGCCAAGCAGGAAACACCATCAGAGCACTCCTGACATATGGTTGTCAAGCCTCTGCTTAAAGACCTCCAAAGAAGGAGACTCCACCACACTCCTTGGCAGCAAATTCCACTGTCAAACAGCTCTTACTGTCAGGAAGTTCTTCCTAATGTTTAGGTGGAATCTTCTTTCTTGTAGTTTGGATCCATTGCTCCGTGTCCGCTTCTCTGGAGCAGCAGAAAACAACCTTTCTCCCTCCCCTATGTGACATCCTTTTATATATTTGAACATGGCTATCATATCACCCCTTAACCTCCTCTTCTCCAGGCTAAACATGCCCAGCTCCCTTAGCCGTTCCTCATAAGGCATCGTTTCCAGGCCTTTGACCATTTTGGTTGCCCTCCTCTGGACACGTTCCAGTTTGTCAGTGTCCTTCTTGAACTGTGGTGCCCAGAACTGGACACAGTACTCCAGGTGAGGTCTGACCAGAGCAGAATACAGTGGCACTATTACTTCCCTTGATCTAGATGCTATACTCCTATTGATGAGGCCCAGAATTGCATTGGCTTTTTTAGCTGCCGCGTCACACTGTTGGCTCATGTCAAGTTTGTGGTCAACCAAGACTCCTAGATCCTTTTCACATGTACTGCTCCTAAAACCCCACCCCACCCTCCCACTATATATAAGGGTCTGGTGACTTCTGTTTCAGGGTATCTGAAGAAGTGTGCATGCACACGGAAGCTCGTACCAAGAACAAACTTAGCTGGTCTCTAAGGTGCTACTGGAAGGATTTTTTATTTTATTTTTTATTATTTTTATTTTGACTGCGTCAGACCAACATTCCAGTTGCTCCCACCCAGGGAGCCTGAATTCTCTTTGACTCTGCAGGGATTTGGACACACCTTTCAGAGATTCAAATATTGATTTGTTTATTGGCCTTGCCCTCCGATACATAAACAGACTTTTACATTTTTTGTCAACTCTTGCAAGAACAAATACAACACCCATTGATGGTTTATTTTTTCCTCCCCCCCCCTTTTAAAAAGGTGCAAAAGATAAAGGTAAAGGTAAAGGGACCCCTGACCATTAGGTCCAGTCGTGGCCGACTCTGGGGTTGCGGCGCTCATCTCGCTTTATTGGCCGAGGGAGCCGGCGTACAGCTTCCAGGTCATGTGGCCAGCAGGACTAAGCCGCTTCTGGCGAACCAGAGCAGCGCACGGAAACGGCGTTTACCTTCCCGCCGGAGCGGTGCCTATTTATCTACTTGCACTTTGACGGGCTTTTGAACTGCTAGGTTGGCAGGAGCAGGGACTGAGCAACGGGAGCTCACCCCGTCGCGGGGATTTGAGCCGCCGACCTTCTTATCGGCAAGTCCTAGGCTCTGTGGTTTGACCCACAGCGCCACCCGTGAATCTAACTGCAAAGCTGCTCTGGGGATGGCATAGGAATAAGAGTCCTGCCAGCAAAAGCACTAGCCAATCAGTGCTGTGCATGGGCTGACCTCAACTGAAAGAGAGCCAGAGTTGTACTTGCAGCGTCATGCTAGGACCTAGGAGACCCGAGTTCGAATCCCCACTTGGTCACGAAGCTCACTGGGTGTCCCTGGGACACTCACTGTCTCTCAGCCTAAGCTACCTCACAGGGTTGTAGAGAGGAATAAATGGGAAGAGGGGGGGGGGGGGACCATTGTATGCCACCTTGATCTCTTTGCCCCACCCAGTCCAGCATCCTGTTCTCATTATGAGAATGTCCATTATGGAAAACAAGAGAGCAGGATCCGAGCACATCAGCCCTCTCCTCTTCTGCAGTTTCTTTTTCTTTTTCAAAATAAATTTTGATTTGATCTTATATATACAGTGGTACCTCGGGTTACAGGCGCTTCAGGTTACAGACTCCGCTAACCCAGAAATAGTGCTTCAGGTTAAGAACTTTGCTTCAGGATGAGAACAGAAATCGGGCAGCGGCGGCGCAGCGGCAGCAGGAGGCCCCATTAGCTAAAGTGGTGCTTCAGGTTAAGAACAGTTTCAGGTTAAGAAGGGACCTCCGGAACGAATTAAGTACTTAACCCGAGGTACCACCATGTGTGTGTGTGTGTGTGTGTGTGTGTGTGTGTACACACACACACACACACTTATATATATACATATAACAAAATGAATTCCAAATCCAAATGTCAAGATTACTCTGAATCTCCTGACTTCCCCCCATCCCTTCCCTGGGTCCTATTAATACTATTTCCCAGTGCATATCAATACTACTCCAATTTAAAGACTTTCTAAATTGTCCGTACATTCTGTTACATTACAAGTGTGTTTAAAATCCTGCTAATGTTTTAACCTGCTTACAATGGCCTTGTGTATAAGTTATCAAAATAGGGATGCGGGTGGCGCTTTGGTCTAAACCACAGAAAGGGGACAGGGTAATGTTTTCCTTGTTCTCCCCTAACACTGGAACTTGTGGATCATTCAATGAAGTGGAAGGTCGGAAGATTTAGGATGGGTAAAAGAAAAGACTTTTTCATGAAGTGCATAATTAAACTTTGGAACTCCCTCCTGAAGGAGACAGGGTTGGCCCCAGTGCCAGATTTACATATAAGCTAAACAAGCTCTAGCTTAGGGCCCCACTCTCTTGGGGGCCCCCAAAAAAAATTAAAGGAAAAAAAACCTGGATGTACGTTTCCAAAATGGGACGCGGGTGGCGATGTGGGTTAAACCACAGAGCCTAGGACTTGCCGATCAGAAGGTCGGTGGTTCGAATCCCCGCGACGGGGTGAGCTCCCGTTGCTCGGTCCCTGCTCCTGCCAACCTAGCAGTTTGAAAGCACGTCAAAGTGCAAGTAGATAAATAGGTACCACTCCAGTGGGAAGGTAAACTGCATTTCCGTGTGCTGCTCTGGTTTCGGTGTTCCGTTGTGCCAGAAGCGACTTAGTCATGCTGGCCACATGACCCGGAAAAACTGTCTGCGGACAAACATCAGCTCCCTCAGCCTGTAAAGCGAGATGAGTGCTGCAACCCCAGAGTTGTCTGCAACTGGACTTAACATTAGTGGGTTAGAGTATTGCTTTGTTTATTACTTGGGTATTGTTAATGTTGTGCACTACTATTTATACGGCTGGTATGCCCCCCCCCCCATAGATGTTATTTTATATGAAATATCAATGTATTATATATAGTTCTTTTTTGCTGCAAGTCGCTTGGAGACCTTTGGGTGACAAGCAACTAAGAAGCCTAATAAGTGAGATGACACGAAATGAAATGAAAACCCGTCTTGGCCAGAAGGCGGCCGTGGCCTGACCGCTGCTCCTCTGCGGTGCCCCGTGACCATTGGCGGAGAAGGGCATTGCGCCCCTTCGCCCTGAATTGTTGGAGAGCGAGGAGAAGTGTCGGAGACCGCGGCTCAAGGACTCAAGAGAGAGAGGCATGTTCAGCTGCTCAAGTCCTCGCAAGGAGGGTGTTTGGGGAGGCGGAGGAGACCCAGAGAGAGGATGAGGGATGGCAGTGTTAACAGAAGAGCATCTGTGAACCAGGCGCAGTGAATGGCACGAGGGACCCTGTTAGCGGCTGGGGAGAAAAGGGTCACCCGAGAAGAGGCCCCCAGAGGGGGGACGCGCCTTTCAGGAAGACGGTTTTGCCCCCTGCACCGAGGCAAGGCTCCAGGGGTGACGGGAGGCCTGTCCTGACTGCCCCTTCGTCTTGGCAGCCCGTCCGAGGCCTGTCCAGAGATGAATGCCTGCTCCACAATGGAGCCAGCCATGTCCTTTTCTGCCTTGCCATATCCATCCATATCCCGGTGGTTTCCCCCCGCTCCTTCCAAGCCCCTTTCACTGGTGATTCCTCATCATCATTCCTCTCTCTCGCCTTCCCTTCTCCTGGGGCTTGGACCGCCTCCAGCCCCATGAACTCAGGGAAGGAAACTTCCCGGCCGACATTCGCTTTCAGCCCCCTCTCGCTCTCCATTCCTCGCTCTCTTCTGCTCTTGACTATTCAGAGCGAACTTGTGGACAAAATAAACTTTGGCGCAGCATCGCCTCCTCCCGCCCCCTTCGCCCATCGGAGCCCCCGTGGGGGGGTTAAACTAATCGAGTACAAGGACTCACTTCGGGCCCTACCTGGGGCACTGCCAGAATGTGTGGATGCGGGTGAGAGAAGAGAGATGCTACAATGCGGCTTTCCTGCCCGCTAGGGTTGAAAATATACCTCTTGCACCGGGGTGGGGGGGCATGTGTGTGAACCCATATGCCTTTGCCCCAATGGTGTTACTTTTTCACGTTTTGTTGTTGTTGTTTAGTCATTTAGTCGTGTCCGACTCTTCGTGACCCCATGGACCAGAGCACGCCAGGCACTTCTGTCTTCCACTGCCTCCCGCAGTTTGGTCAAACTCATGCTGGTAGCTTCGAGAACACTGCCCAACCATCTCGTCCTCTGTCGTCCCCTCCTCCTTGTGCCCTCCATCTTTCCCAACATCAGGGTCTTTTCCAGGGAGTCTTCTCTTCTCCTGAGGTGGCCAAAGTCTTGGAGCCTCAGCTTCACGATCTGTCCTTCCAGTGAGCACCCAGGGCTGATTTCCTTCAGAATGGAGAGGTTGGATCTTCTTGCAGTCCATGGGACTCTCAAGAGTCTCCTCCAGCACCAGAATTCAAAAGCATGAATTCTTCGGCGATCAGCCTTCTTTATGGTCCAGCTCTCACTTCCATACATCACTATACATCACTATGTAGTGCAGAGTTAAACTGTGGAACTCACTTCGGCAGGAGGTAGTGATGACAACCAACTTGGGTGGCTTTAACAAACCCTCCCCATTTCCCCCAGCCGTCCCAGTTTCTGATTTGATCCAGGAATGTTCCACTTATAAAGTTGCCATACGCCAGGGTCTGGCCGCCTGTTACAGTGCCCTGGTGGAAATTGCTTAAATGTCCAGGATTTCCCCTGATGTTTGGCACCCAGGTCAGAAGTGTAGATTTTGGTGAATTTTAAAAAAAGCGCGTAACAACTTTGGGCAAAACTAAAAAGCACTCAACAACTTTGCCACCCCCCTGCCCCCTCAGAAAACTCAAATTGGGATGTCCCAATTTTCATCAGAGAAATGTTGGAGGGTGTGGAGTTATGTGACCCCTGAGCCAAAGAGATAAGTAACTATACAACCTTTAGAAGACACCTGAAGGCAGCCCTGTGTAGGGAAGTTTTTTTAAAAAAATGTTTAATGTTTTAATATGTTTTTATATATGTTGGAAGCTGCCCAGAGTGGCTGGGGAAACCAAGCCAGATGGGCCAGGTATAAATAACAAAATAATTATTAGCAGTAGTATAGAACAGGTAAAGGTAAAGGAACCCCTGACCATTAGGTCCAATCGCGGAAGACTCTGGGGACGAATTGCGGACGAATTGCGGACAACTCTCGCTTTACTGGCCAAGGGAGCCGGCGTACAGCTTCTGGGTCATGTGGCCAGCAGGACTAAGCCGCTTCTGGAGAACCAGAGCAGCACGTGGAAATGCCGTTTACCTTCCCGCCTGAGTGGTACCTATTTATCTACTTGCAGTTGACATGCTTTCGAACTGCTAGGTGGGCAGGAGCAGGGACCAAACAACGGGAGCTCACCCCGTTGTGGGGATTCGAACTGCCGACCTTCTGATTGGCAAGCCCAAGAGGCTCAGTGGTTTAACCCACAGCACCACCCGCGTCCCTATTTTCTACAGGAAAAGTTTCAGAGGGTATGCTTCAAAAGAAGATGAGGCGGACTCAGGAAGAAGGGGTGAGGGCTGTCAGTGGCTACTAGTTCATCCTAATGATGGCAAGGAATCTTTTTTCTCCATCGTTGGGTCAAACCTTGGTGAGGCAGGCAGTGACCACCTCAGTTCAGTGTGCTAAGAATTTCAGCTTTCAAAATATTTCAGATATTTGAAATATCTTTGGAGACTTAATGAAAACTATATATATGGAGAGGATTTCAGCTTCCCTTGAACCCTGGAGAGAGAGATGGTGATGGATGCACACCAGAGCCTGTCCCGTCTGCTTGCCTGGCATTAGATCTCAGATGCCGTTAAGAGCTTCCCAGGGGCAGCGAATGGGTCTTCAGGGGTCCTCCTTTAGTGCCCTCCTTGACTGGCAGCAGCCAAAACCCCGCGGTGAAAGAGCAGCCTGTTTCCCAGACCTTTGCAATTCGGTCAAGCTGTCGTTGCCAAATCCTGGCTCTCCGTAGCCACCTCACGTGTAGCATCTGAAGCCCCGAAGACGAATCCCCCCAAAAGAGGCCCAGCTGGGCTTGCAGCAAAGCCCGAGGGAAAGGGTGTGTGTGTGTGTGTGTGTGTAGCCGCGGCAGAGGGAAGGAGAACCGGCTCATGCAAATCCCAGGCCCAGACTATCACTTGCATTTCCACATTCATACCAAACTGTTTATTAGCGGAGCAATTAAGAGCCAGCCTGAAAGGGAAGCAGGACAAAACGTGTCTTGTGGTGCCTTTAAAGAGAGGCCTTCGTGGGAGAATTCGCCAAGCCTTGCCAGACCTGGGCAAATAAACAGCCCACTGCCGGCGGAGATCCTTCAGCTCTCCATCCGCTGGTCGGATCGTTGGCTGAAATACCTCACCGTTGTTGGGAAAAATAAACGGGCAGGATTGATGCCCGAGGAATTCACATGTGTCAGGTGGGGGTTTCTGTTGGAGTTGTGGGGCAGGATTTTCGCTCCCCAGCTGTGGGAGGTGTGATATGATGTGTTTGGAGGGTGTGGGCGTGGGAGAGTTGGGGGAGGGAGGCCCAGGACCCTCACAGAGGTGGGAGACTGATGAGGCCAGGGAATCATAGAATCACAGAACTGTAGAATGGAAAGGGTCCATTCACTCTGCAATGCACGAATTACAGCTAAATCCTTGACAGGTGTCTATGCAACCTCTGCTCAAAAACCTCCATGGAATTAGAGTACACCACTTCTAAGACAGCCTGTTCCACCATCAAATGGTTCTTGCCATCAGAAAGTTCTTCCTGAAACAAAGGCAATCTTTGAAATTTGTACTTCTCTGAATTTTGCAAAGTACTTTTCCAGCCAGGTAATGGGAGGGGGGAGAGAAGAAGAAGAAGAAGAAGGAGGAGGAGGAGGAGGAGGAGGAGGAGGAGGAGGAGGAGAAGAGGAAGAAGAATTTATACCCCGCCCATCT